TACACTGGCCACTCCAGTGACAGGTCCTACATTGGCCACTCCAGTGACAGGTCCTACACTGGCCACTCCAGTGACAGGTCCTACACTGGCTACTCCAGTGACAGGTCCTACACTGACCACTCCAGTGACAGATCCTACACTGGCCACTCCAGTGACAGGTCCTACACTGGCCACTCCAGTGACAGGTCCTACACTGGCCACTCCAGTGACAGGTCCTACACTGGCCACTCCAGTGACAGGTCCTACACTGGCACTCCAGTGACAGGTCCTACACTGGCTACTCCAGTGACAGGTCCTACACTGGCCACTCCAGTGACAGATCCTACACTGGCCACTCCAGTGACAGGTCCTACACTGGCCACTCCAGTGACAGGTCCTACACTGGCCACTCCAGTGACAGGTCCTACACTGGCCACTCCAGTGACAGGTCCTACACTGGCTACTCCACAAAGGTGATTCTCAAAAAAAAAAAACACAAGCCACTTCTGCCATTCGCTGTCCATTTTCTTCATACACTCAAACACACACACACACACACACACACACACACACAACACACACACAACACACACACCACAACACACACACACACACACACAACACACACACACACACACATCTTACAATCTTACATCAACACGGCTCCAGACTCAGTATATTATTTTTGGTTTTCAACGCGTTTCAACATGCCTGTCGTGAAGGCACACTTGCATGCAGCTCTGTATTCATTGACTCACCGTGGTATACATTCACTGTATAAGTGTTTCAGCGTGCAAGAGAGCAGGAGAGAGAGAGAGAGAGTGAGAGAGAGAGAGAGATGAGAGAGAGGAAGAGAGAGAGAGAGAGAGAGAGAGAGAGAGAGAGAGAGAGAGAGAGAAGAGAGAGAGAGAGAGAGAGGAGAAGAGAGAGAGAGGAGAGAGAGAGAAGAAGAGAGAGAGTGTAATTAAGGTCTGGTGGGTAATAGCGTTTGGACTCACACACACGTCAGCTTAGTACCAATTTATGTGAATTGAATGTTGATATTCAGTGTGTGGTTCACTCTTCCCTGGGAACTGCTGCTCGGTACTTACTGGTAATGGGTGTTGGTGGTGTTTACTGGTGGGGAGGACAGGGAGGGGAACTGGAGTTCGGGAAAAGGAGGGTTGAAGACAAGGGTAGAGGAGGATAAATGATGTGGAGGAAGAATGCAAGGGAGGGAGAGAATTGTAGGAAGGGGCTGTAATGGCTTAGCAGTGGAGTGGTTTTGTTCTTGAAGATGTGCTGTGTTGAGTAGTGAAGGTGACTGATCACTAAGGATGTGCTGTGTTGAGTAGTGAAGGTGACTGATCACTAAGGATGTGCTGTGTTGAGAAGTGAAAGTTACCGATGTCAGGTAAACAAAAGTACTACTCTCTGTACGAAGTACTTAGTTACTCATGTTCATCCCACATTATCACTCACCTTCACATCTTTATCTTGCACATCTTCCCTACTTGTTTCCCCTGGCAACGTTGTTAGCTTCGGAAAACAACAGTGTAACTGCCACTTGGAAGATGGCAAACAATCTAGCAACAGTACACAACAGTGTGCAAGACTTGCACACTACCGTATGTACAATATACGTATACTACAGTACATGTATACATATGTACAACATTTGTACAGGACATACATATATGTACAGATAGACAAAATCGACTGCTGGAGCATATGAGGTACGTAGCCGTACAGACCCAGGACCACAGACCCAGGGTCACAGTCTCAGAACCACAGATCCAGGGTCACAGACCCAGGACCACAGACCCAGGGTCGCAGACCCAGGACCACAGACCCAGGACCACAGACCCAGGGTCACAGTCTCAGAACCACAGATCCAGGGTCACAGACCCAGGACCACAGACCCAGGACCACAGACCCAGGGTCACAGTCTCAGAACCACAGATCCAGGGTCACAGACCCAGGACCACAGACCCAGGGCCACAGACCCAGGACCACAGACCCAGGGTCACAGTCTCAGAACCACAGATCCAGGGTCACAGACCCAGGACCACAGACCCAGGGTCGCAGACCCAGGACCACAGACCCAGGGTCACAGACCCAGGATCACAGACCCAGGGGTCACAGACCCAGGACCACAGACTCAGGGCTACAGACCCAGGACCACACAAAACACTGGGAAGTCAAAACCTGTAGCAGTGGTACACCTTTTGTGCAACGGGAGGTAGTCAGGTTTGATCCAGGAAGGGGGTAGACATATACCCAATTCCTTGAATCAAGAGCTCTTCGAGAATCCAATAAACGAGCCCCTTGATTGTTCACCTCGTGTTCCGTACGTTTTTTTCTGAAGTACGTTAACCAAACACCTTTTAAAGGAACCTTTCCAAATGCAGTAACTTTAAACCCAAACCCCTTTTTAAAAGACAATTTTAATTAAATACAGAATTAATAAACGTTTTTTAAAGGGAACACGAATGAAGACATCGTAGGGTGAGCCTGGAGCCCCAAGGTCATAGGAAGAATTTTATGCTTGAAAAATTGTGGAGGAACTATGTTTTCAAAAAAAAAAAAAAAAAAAAAACCCGTTTAACCCCAGAGAGAGAAGAAGAGGAGGGGGGAGAGGGAGGGAAAAAAACAGGGAAGGGGGAAAAAGGAAAAAAAGGGGAAAAAAAAACAAAAAAAAAAAAGAAAAAAAAAAAAAAAAAACAAACAAAAAAAAAAAAAAAAAAAAAAAAAAAAGGGGGGGAAATTTACCAAAACCCAGAAAATAAAAAAAAAAAAATTTTTTTTCTTCCGGGTCAACCGGGAAACCTTTTTTTTCCCTTTTTTCCGCTGCCAACCCCCCACTCATTTTAAATTTTTCCCGCTTATACCAGACCTCGCTTTTCCAAATTTTTTTTAACGCAAAATGTTTCGCTCGCGAAAGAGAAGCCACAAGAGAGGGAAATCTTGAGCTCAAATTTTTCACCGCTCCGTGCGTATCAGGAGCATGCAATGTTGCAAGAGTACCAACAGGTGGAATGAGCGAAAGTTTCCTCAGAGGAGGTATCGGTTTGGTAGGGTTTGACCATCAAAAAAAAAAAAAACACTCTCACCATCAAATTTACGCCATACCGTCTCGCTGGAGTCGTGCCCAATTTCCCGCTAAAAAACCCCCACCAAATCCACAATTATCCCCACCCTCCCTTTAGAACAAAAAAAAAAAATTAACAAAAGCAAAAGGGGTAACAATAGCAGAAACATTAACAAACATCCCCCCATGTTATACTATAAAAATTTCGTAACAATCTGAAGTGTTTTTTTAACACCTCGCCTCTCGTCACTCATATATAAGGAAAATTAATAAAATTAAAATTAAACGGGTGGAGGGGTAACCGGGGGAAGGCCTCGGTCATTGACCAAAGCTTTCCCGCGTCGGGAAACTGACCTGTTCCTGACGCATCTTACCTAACCTAACCAAACCCCTCCATTATTAAACCACTTTATTCCTTTTTTAAATTTCAAAAAAAAATTTTGTCGGTTATTTTTTGACCACCTGGGGTGTCAGTATGTGCATGTACATAGTCAAAAAAAATAATAACGCGAAAAAAACATGGGGTGTTTAGTGGGCGTCGAGACGGTCTGGTGCTCTCTGGCAACCCATCCCGGGGATACATTTTTACAAACCAATATTTATTTTTTTTATAAGCATAATGTTTTTATCTGTTAATAAAACTCCCAAATTTTTCCCCTTTTAAAAAGAAGTTTTTCCCCGCTTTCAAGAATTTTGCATCGAACAATCGCCCTATTTTTTAATTAAAAATATGACCGATTAACCATACTCTATCGAAAGTTGTATAAAAAAACACGGGATTTTATTACCAAGTTTTATTTCCAAGTATATAATTTAATAATTAATTATATTATATTTATATATATATATATATATATATATAAATTAAATATATAAAATATAAAAATTATATATATATAATATATATATATATATAAATTATATATATTAATATATATATATAATATATATATAAAATATTTATTTGTCGGCCCGAATATGTAAAACGGTCAATTAGCAAGAACTCATTTAAAATTAAGTACTTTCGAAAATTTTCTCTTATCTTTTAAAAATATATTTTTTTCATTAATGTTAATGTAAAAAATTTTAATTTTGTACCAAAAGAATCTTAGAAAACTTACCTAACCTTATTGTAACAAGAACATTTTTATTTTAGCCTAACCCAACTATATAATATTTTAGATTAGTTTACAATAATTTAATACTAAACAAACACAGAGAAATATATAATTTTCGTTAGGTTCAGAATGATTTTGGCGAAATTATTGCATACACAAATTTTCACACTTGTCCTATATGGCAAGATGAGCGTTGCTATTAAGCAAGATCGCAAGTTCTCCCTTTTCGGCACGACATATATATAAATATATAAAATATATATTTTATATATATATATATATATATATATAATATATATATATAATATACAAACATATATATATATATATATTGTAACCACTAACGAGTGGTATTGATCAATAATAACGCTGTACTAGCCAAGGATTCGAACCCATTTTGTACGGGCCCGCCTCATGGAGAGCTAGATCCACATGACGCCTTAACCCACAGGACCACCCAATCCTACAAAGATGGCGCAAGCCACAGAGCTATTGTTTTACCGTCATCCGAGGCCCTTCGGTGTCGGGGGAGCCTCTAGGCTAATTTTCATTGAGTGTTTTGTTGTTAATTTATGTATGTTATGTACTCTCGCCCTCACCACTCACCCTTTACGGTCCCTTACCCCATCACCCTCCCTTATCTCTCCCTGAAAAACCCTTACTGTTGACGCGTCACTGCTGACGCCTTCACTGCTGACTCTGTGTTTGCTGAAACGTCACTGCTAGCTAAAAACTGACAGGGTGGCGACATTACTGAAAAGGCTAGTGACAAACTGACATGGTTAGTGACATGACTGACAGGCTAGTAACAAGACTGATGGCAATGACAAGACTGACATGGTTAGTGACATGACTGGCATGGCTATGACAATGCTGACATAGAGTGACATTCCCTGACATGGCTATGACATGAATGACAGGGGCTAGTGACATGACTGGCATGGTTAGTGACATGACTGGCATGGTTAGTGACATGACTAACCATGGTTTGTGACGTGAATGAAGGGCTAGTATTCAGATTTGACAGGGTTTATGACATGACTGGCATGGATAGTGGACATGACTGACATGGTTAGTAACATACAGACCTCTACTAAAACTTCCTCTCCTCTCCCTTCCCTTCCTCAGAGCAAATCTAATTACCACGTATTCCCCATGGCCCTTACGGGTTTAGCTCTTCCTCGTTAATATAATAAAGATTAATCTCACCAGGTCAAAATTTCCACTTTACTCTCTGGTAATAAAGAAAATTTTAATTATTCCCCTGAAACAAAAAGTATGAGAGACAAGAGAGAGAGGAGAGAGAGAGAGAGAGAGAGAGAGAGGAGAGAGAAGAGAGAGAGAGAGAGAGAGAGAAAGAGAGAGAGTATGATAAACAAGGAAACAATATACAAATAACCCGCACATAGGAGAGAGGAGCTTATGACGACGTTTTCGTCCGACTTGGACCATTTACAAAGGTCACACTAACACAAGAGAGTGGAGGTGCCAGTATATATAGGCGAGGGTGACTGGGACGGGACAGAGAGAGGAAGAACAAGAAGCAGTGGTAGTGGGGGTTATTTGTGTATTGTTCCAGTCACGGTTTTGTGCACTTTTAGCGTGTGTTCTTTAAGTAACAATAACAGTGTAAAACACTGTGTACAGATGAAGATGAACATTGCCCAGGGAACACGATTAATGGAGATCATCGGCCTCAGTGTCTCCTTGCCTCTCTCTGCGCCTCCCTCGCTATCTTCTTCTACTTTAGGTAAGTCATTCTTGGGTGTCTGTTACCCTCGTTCCCTGGCTGTTTGTTACCCTCGTTCCCTGGCTGCCTGTTACCCTCGTTACCTGGCAGTCTGTTGCCCTCGTTCCCTGGCTGTCTGTTACCCCATTCCCTGGCTGTTTGTTACCCCTTCCCCGGCTGTCTGTTACCCTCGTTCCCTGGCTGTCTGTTACCCTCGTTTTCCCCGGCTGTCTGTTACCCTCGTTACCTGGCAGTCTGTTACCCCCCGTTCCCCCGGCTGTCTGTTACCCTCGTTTTCCCCGGCTGTCTGTTACCCTCGTTCCCTGGCTGTCTGTTACCCTCGTTCCCTGGCTGCCTGTTACCCTCGTTCCCTGGCTGCCTGTTACCCTCGTTCCCTGGGTTTTCTGTTACCCTCGTTCCCCCGGCTGTCTGTTACCCTCGTTCCCTGGCTGTCTGTTACCCTCGTTCCCTGGCTGCCTGTTACCCTCGTTCCCTGGCTGCCTGTTACCCTCGTTCCCTGGCTGTCTGTTACCCTCGTTCCCTGGCTGTCTGTTACCCTCGTTCCCTGGCTATTTGTTAAACCCCCGTTCCCTGGCTGTCTGTTACCCTCGTTCCCTGGCTGTCTGTTACCCCTCGTTCCCTGGCTATTTGTTACCCTCGTTCCCTGGCTGTTTTTTACCCCTCGTTCCCTGGCTGTCTGTTACCTCGTTACCTGGCAGTCTGTTTCCCCTCGTTCCCTGGCTGTCTGTTACCCCTCGTTCCCTGGCTGTCTGTTTTCCCCTCGTTACCTGGCGTCCCGTTAACCCCCGTTTCCCTGGCTGTCTGTTACCCTCGTTCCCTGGCTGTCTGTTACCCTCGTTCCCTGGGTGTCTGTTACCCTCGTTCCCTGGCTGCCTGTTACCCTTTCCCTGGCTGCCTGTTACCCTCGTTTCCCTGGCTGTCTGTTACCCTCGTTTTCCCCGGCTGTCTGTTTCCCTCGTTCCCTGGCTGTTTGTTACCCTCGTTTTCCCTGGCTGTCTGTTACCCTCGTTCCCTGGCTGTCTGTTACCCTCGTTCCCTGGCTTTCTGTTACCCTCGTTCCCTGGCTGTCTGTTACCCTAGTTCCCTGCTGTTTGTTACCTCGTTCCCGGCTGTCTGTTACCCTCGTTCCCCTGGCTGTCTGTTACCCTCGTTCCCTGGGTGTCTGTTACCCTCGTTTTCCCCGGCTGTCTGTTACCCTCGTTTCCCCGGTTGTCTTTTTACCCTCGTTCCCTGGCTGCCTGTTACCCTCGTTCCCTGGCTGCCTGTTACCCTCGTTCCCTGGCTGTCTGTTACCCTCGTTCCCTGGCTGTCTGTTACCCTCGTTCCCTGGCTGTTTTTTTACCCTCGTTCCCTGGCTGTCTGTTACCCCCCGTTCCCTGGCTGTGTGTTACCCTCGTTCCCTGGCTGTCTGTTACCCTCGTTCCCTGGCTGTCTGTTACCCTAGTTCCCTGGCTGTTTGTTACCCTCGTTCCCTGGCTGTCTGTTACCCTCGTTCCCTGGCTGTCTGTTACCCTCGTTCCCTGGCTGTCTGTTACCCTCGTTCCCTGGCTGTCTGTTACCCTCGTTCCCTGGCTGTCTGTTACCCCCGTTCCTGGCTGCCTGTTACCCTCGTTACCTGGCAGTCTGTTGCCATCGTTCCCCGGCTGCCTGTTACCCTCCTTCCCTGGCTGTCTGTTACCCTCGTTCCCTGGCTGTCTGTTACCCTCGTTCCCTGGCTGCCTGTTACCCTCGTTCCCTGGCTGCCTGTTACCCTCATTCCCTGGCTGCCTGTTACCCTCGTTCCCTGGCTGCCTGTTACCCTCGTTCCCTGGCTGCCTGTTACCCTCGTTCCCTGGGTGCCTGTTCCCCACGTTTCCCTGGCTGCCCGTTACCCTCGTTCCCTGGCTGCCTGTTACCCCCCGTCCCTGGTGCCTGTTACCCTCGTTTCCCCGGCTGTCTGTTACCCTCGTTCCCTGGCTGTCTGTTACCCTCGTTCCCCGGCTGCCTGTTACCCTCGTTCCCTGGCTGCCTGTTACCCTCGTTCCCTGGCTGCCTGTTACCCTCGTTCCCTGGCTGCCTGTTACCCTCGTTCCCTGGCTGCCTGTTACCCTCGTTCCCTGGCTGCCTGTTACCCTCGTTCCCCGGTGCCTGTTACCCTCGTTCCCCGGCTGCCTGTTACCCCGTTCCCTGGCTGCCTGTTACCCTCGTTCCCTGGCTGCCTGTTACCCTCGTTCCCTGGCTGCCTGTTACCCTCGTTCCCTCACACAGCACTAAACTACAGACCAGTGTCGCTGACATATAGTATGTAAAGTTATGTCAAAGATTGTCAGGAGAAGAGTGGTGGAGCACCTAGAAAGAAACAGGTTCATACATGACAACCAGCACAGATCAGGGGTGAGAAATCCTGCATCACAGACATACTGGAGTTCCACGACAAGGTGACAGAAGTAAGGCAGGAGAGAGAGAGGTGAGTACACACACACACACACACACACACACACACACACACACACACACACACACACACACACACACACACACACACACTAAGATCCTTCTAGAGTTAATATGTAAGAAATTCTCAGTGTGTGGTACACAGTATGTGTACCTGGCTGCTCTCCCTCTCTAAATCCCTCTCTCCTTTCCTCTTACTGACTTCCTCCACTCTTACCAGTAAGTTTATTTAGGCACAGGTACGCATAATTACAATTATCATCCATATGTAAATTACCCAGGTAAACCCCCCCCCAAAAAAAAAAAAGTCGAAGTGGTTTATTTCGCTGGGATCCCTGAATTTCCATTGGGATCCTTTAACATTATTTCTCAGTCCAGAGCAGGATTCGAGCCTGCGCATTTTGCATCAAAGTACACAGTCCTTTTGACAGACTCCTGATAATAAGTATTAGCGCCTCACCCACACTGGTTGTGTGGGCGAGGCGCAGAGTGCAGAGTGCAGAGTGCAGAGTGCAGAGTGCAGAGTGCAGAGTGCAGAGTGCGCAGGTTCGAGTCCTGCTCCCTACTGACAGATATTGTGTATATAGTACATATTAATATTATGTACACATATTTCTTACCTAGTATCCAGGAGGCAGCCTACCTCTGTACCCTCACCACCCCCTCACCACCCCCCTCACCACCCCCCTCATCACCACCCCCCTCACCACCCCCCTCACCACCCCCCTCACCACACTCCCCACCCCTCACCACCCCCCTCACCACCACCCTCACCACCCCCCTCACCACCACCCTCACCACCCCCCTCACCACCCCCCTCACCACCCCCCTCACCACACTCCCCACCTCCCTCACCACCCCCCTCACCACACTCCCCACCCCCTCACACCACCTCCCTCACCACCCCCCTCACCACCCCCCTCACCACACTCCCCACCTCTCTCACCCCCCCCCTCACCACACTCCCCACCTCCCTCACCACCTCCCTCACCACACTCCCCACCAACCTCACCACACTCCCCACATCCCTCACCACACTCCCCACCTCCCTCAACACACTCTCCACCACCCTCTCTACACTCCCCATCACAAGGTAACTCTGGTCATAGTTTCCAACAGTTATTGAATCTGGTTGATCAGCGTCAAGGGTGAGACAGCCGTCAATACCCGGATATAGTATATTACCTCGTCACTCAGCCCTTGTAGGGGTGGGCACACGGGGAGAATACTGACCTCTCTCTCTCTCCCCCGTACAAGGATATGGTATTATCTCCCAAGTGACGTCCTTGTCGGGGGAGATGAGGAGAATCCTAAACCACATATTTGCTCTTAGATACGGTGGTTTAATGTCCCATTTCGAGGTGTTTATGGGATGGGGAGGCGGTGAACTAGGTTTATTAAAGGGCATATACAAAAAAAACTTTACGCAAATTATCATACATAGTGACATATATAAAAAAGCCACAGCGGAAGTTGAATGATAGCTCTAGGCCTTTCGTATTGTAATCAACACATCAGGAGCTTGCAACAACCTAATCCCACACTTCCTCCTAACAACCTAACCCCACACGTACTCCTAACAACCTAACCCCACACGTCCTCCAGACAACCTAACCCCACACGTACTCCTAACAACCTAACCCCACACGTCCTCCTAACAACCTAACCCCACACGTACTCCTAACAACCTAACCCCACACGTCCTCCTAACAACCTAACCCCACACGTACTCCTAACAACCTAACCCCACACGTCCTCCTAACAACCTAACCCCACACGTACTCCTAACAACCTAACCCCACACGTCCTCCTAACAACCTAACCAAACACGTCCTCCTAACAACCTAACCCCACACGTCCTCCTAACAACCTAACCCCACACGTCCTCCTAACAACCTAACCCCACACGTCCTCCTAACAACCTAACCCCAAAACTCCTCCTAACAACCTAACCCCACACGTCCTCCTAACAACCTAACCCCACACGTCCTCCTAACAACTTAACCCCACACGTACTCCTAACAACCTCAGCTAATTTGAAAGCATTTTTATTGTTATGAGACATACAAGTAGGGAACAGGATGAAGTTGGAGCCATCTGTGGGCCAGCATTTTCATTTGATCAACTGACTTTATCTCGTTGACATCATTATGCTGTACGAATGTGTTCCATACTCGAGTCATCCTGGTTATAAATGATCTCAGATGGAGTGATGTTCTGGAGAAGGCTACAACCAAAGTGAAGTTGCTGCTGACTACCCGTCTTGTGGTGTAGAAGCTTGCTTCACGCTGTCCTCGAAGTGGATCCAAGTGTGGTACTTTGACAATATTCTTCACATTTTTTCCCCTCTCCCCTCCTCTCTCTCACTTCTCCCCCTTTTTTTTTTTCTCTCCTCTCTCCCCCTCTCTCTCCTCCCTCTTCCTCTCTCTCTCTCTCCTCCCTTTTTCTCTCTCTCTCTCTCTCTCTCCTCCCCCTCTCTCTCTCTCCCTCCTCCTCTTCTCTCTTCTTCTCTCTTCTCTCTCTTTCCTCTCCCTCTCTCTCTCTCTTTTTCTCCTCCTCTTTCCCCT